GACTCGTCCAAGCAGTCACTGCAGGGTCAGCAATGACTGAGCGCAGACAAAAAAAAAAACTTTCAGCCCATTGAAATTAGTTAAGTAATGTGTATCCCAATGCACATCTGCGATTCCCCAAATATGTGAATTGTTGAAGAGCAAAATCATGGTATTCGATTATCAAATATCACAAGAAATAATAGAAATGGAAAGAAACAGCAAGAAAAGTCTAAAAGTTATGCAGAAAAATTGCAAATTGTAAATGGATAATAAGACTGTATAGCTATATTGAGAAGAAATAAGACTGTTACATAATGTATCAAGTAACATCAGACTGAGAACAATACTCTGTTCAAAATTAGAAGAAACCAGAAGAGTGTTAGAACAACTTTTTCTAGCTTCCCTCCAGGATTTTTTGGACCGCAATTCCTATCAACCTTCCAGGTACCTTATAATAGTGGTGGCTTAAAGTATACTGTCTGTCTAGATCTGCCTTAGGCAACTTCTAGCAACTAATGTGCAACATCATATAAAAAAAAAATTACAAAATGTGAAAACTACACACAGCCCAGTAAAAAAAATACTAAATTAGCAAACCATAAAAAATTATTTGAAAAGTCTAAGGACTTTTCACTGCCAAGTTGGAGTGCTATCCACCAGTCTTAGAGCTGAATTAAATGAGCATTAATTGTGCTGCCCTCATTGCCAATCCCTATTTTGCCACAGGAATAAGGCCAGTGAATGGTATTCATACTTATGCTAGGCCAAGTCAAGGAAACAGATTGGTGGATACCCCCAACTTTGTTTCACCTCCCACCAAACATCCCTTCCCTTTGGCCCCCCTCGTGAGGTAGGGATGGGGTGAATGTAGACCAAAGCTGGATTTAGGTTGCCCAGCTAACGTTGCAAGTTCTAAGAGGAGCCTGAGATGAAGTTGCAGGAAGCTCTCTCAATGCTCCTGTTTCACACAACATCATCCCCATCTGTCCTTTGGGCGATTACTGAACACAACACTTTTCTAAAAGTGCACTAAACACAAGTTCAAGAATAGCCTTCCTGGCTGACAAAATGCACAAAGCGGGTGTGTGGGATGAAATGGGATGATCAATAGCAAGCAAACTCCATCCTGGCTATCGCTTCAAGAGGATGCTGGTGCTGGCAGTGAGTGACTGAAATCCATTCTGACCTTGTTGCCTGCAGAAACCAGAAATAGGGCACAGCCATGGAGAGCATGTGCTCTAGAGCAGTCTTTTGGAATTACACCATTCTTAATGATACCTAGTGCTGTCAAAGCAGGAAGAGGGTGTGCAAAATGGCTCATGCATACCTACAGTGATACAAGTAACCATGTTTATTGTACAAAATAGCACAAGAACTGTAGCTGCATGGTACAAGTTCCAGGAGGGCTGACCAGTCAAACTGATACTGTAATGGTCATGCACAAGTTCTTAGAAATAATAAAAACAGTAAAAACTAAACGTCTGTCAGAAGAAATGATTTGTCATAAGAAACAGGAGAAGACCTGTAATGAACATATTGGCGAAAGAACTAACCACACATTCCTGACAGCTTTGTTCTGGTTTAAATCAACCTGTACAGCACACCAGTCAAGCATTACACTGGCATATGCCTCTGCAGAAGCCAGGGGTACAATCTCCCCTACATGGCCATGAAATTTCTCCTAAATAGCTATGGAGGACAGTTCCCAGCAACCTAGAGATGTGTCCTTTCCTGGGCTTACATGGTAGCCATGAGATCCTAGGGAAATAAACATTTGAGCCAAAGAAGAGGCAACAGAGTATGGAGAACCCTCTCTCCTGAATGGAACCAGCCCATCCTATCATGCTGAGGACCCCCAACCTATGAAAGGGCTCCAGAGGCCACTCTTCTCAAGGATGACCCTGACATCATGGAACAGCCTCACCTCTCTGGTTCAGTTGGCCTCTTTAGGGGCTCTTCAGAGAGTGTTGAGGAGAGCTCTCTGTCTTTTCTGTTTCAGGAGGGATTGTATTCTACATGCCAATTGCACTGGATGGGATTCAAAGAAGGGCATTTATGATGGGTTCATTTATGTTTTTGACTTGTAAACCACCCTGAATCAATCCGACTGGACAATACAGTATGAATTTGTGCATTTATTTCATAATATTTATTATCATAGTATTAATAGCACACTTCCCTCTTGCTTATTCATCCCAAATGCAGTCATGTCATAAATGCTTAATAAGAATGTAAGAATAAGTAAAAAATAAAATTTCTGTTCAATCTCAAATACTTTATGCTAAATACAAAGCTTATTCTTTCAACTTTGTAACACTTGCATGCAGGAATAACATAGCTTGGCCTTTTTCTCAGATGGGCTGTCACAGCATCAAACTGGGTTATGCAGCAGCATCAGAAGGATGTATGTAAATTATGGCATAAAAGAACTGAGATCCCATTCAGGCACTTAAGCAGGTCTCTTGGACAACTTGTAGCTGGAAGGGTATTTGAAGGAAGTAAATGAAACAGACAGCTCCATTTTAATTTTCTATAAACCGGATGACAAGTCATATTGTTGATTGTCTGTGAAGTCACAGACCTCAAACAGACATCATTGCTGATCAATTGTTTGGTGAGGAGTGCAGAGCAGGAAGGAACTGAATCCTATTTTTATCTTCCATCTCACTGGCCTCCTTGGTCACTTTGGCCAACTAATTATTATTGATTTATCTGATAAATGGATGAGAAGGCATGGCTGAATCAGGATCACAGGAACAATTGTAATGACCTAAATTGGTACCAGTAAATCTGTTGATTTAGTAGGCCTATTACAGCAGTGAGCATCTTATTTACGAGGTACTAATTTACCCATAATATTTCATTGATCGGTGGCCTGATATCATTAGAAATTTTCCTGTTACTAGAGAATTAAGAAGAGATTACAATCTGTGTAAACAGCAAAGAGGAATATTTCCCTGTTAGAAGATTTATTTATATGAACAGTAGAACCTGCCTGAATTTGAAGGGTCTGTATTCTGCTCTTTTTCCCTTACCTGTATAATACAGTATATGAGTAAAAAGGCAATACAAATGAAATGAAAGGTCCAGAGGAGTAGAGAACGCTGGGCTTCATTGATTGCTAAGTCAGTTTTTTATTAAATTTATTTATTTATTTATTTATTTATTATTTATATTTTGAATTTAGACACTACCCATCTCACAAGGAAGTGACTCTGGGCGGTTTACAATAAAG